TTTAAGGTGCCTTGAAGAGGGTGATTTTTAAAGAGCAAAACTCAGCAGGTCTTGAGGATCAGACTTCGATCAAGCCCTGCTAGCTCTTGCAGAGCCCGGTTGTGACTGATACAGATCCACGTCTCACAGGGGTCCGCGATATTGGCTTCGCTTTGCTTGTGGCTGGGGGTCTTGAACTTTGGAGTAGCAAACGGGGAAGGGTTGGTTTCGGGGGGAACACCCCCACCCCAGCCAGCGTTACCAAGATCCAGGGGGGTTCCCCCACCGCTCGTGCAGCTCCGCCGAAAGATGCGATGCAGGTTGATATCGCGCTTGTAACCCTGCCGCTGAAATTACCGACATCTCGCTGTACGGCGAAACGGAGATACTGGCCCCGCATAGTCTGATAGAATAAAGAAACAGGAATAATTATATAGTTTCCAGCCCGTGCACTCAGTTGTAAGAAACGCCCTTCTGCTCACAGGGACCGAAGGAGGAACGGAGGAGGCCCTCAGAAGCGTACGTGCTAATTGGGTATGCTCCCTTCTGGCCGAGCCGTTATACAATGGACGAGCTTCCAGGGCTCTTAATGCGTGTGGGATCCGGCTTGTCTCTTGCGTAAGAGCTGCTGCATAGCCATAGAGCGGTGATTTATCTCTGGGTAATATGATGGGCTCTTGAATTGCAATGAAAACCCCTTTCTGTAACAATAGTTCAGGGTAACCTTATAATAACCTCCTCCACCTTCCCCAGAGAAACGCTTCAGTCAGATAAAGGAATTTGTTATCCGCACAGAAACATCTGCCCCCTGCCTCCGAAAGGACCGGCTCAGAGTGACAGTTACCCTTTCCTCACCATTCTGCGTCGCTTTTTGAAACGGCAGCAAGATCACGCTTGGAGCAGAGCTGTTTTTTTAATGTTGGGTTTTTTTTTTCCTACTGGCTTTGGTCGCGGAAACATCACCTGAGCTGGATTCGTAGAGTTGGGTTTTATTTCATAATGATGGATGTGCTGGTTAAACGTAATGGAAGAGGCAAGATAGCAGCGCAGAAATTTGGCGCCAACCGCCTTGCTTTGAAAGAGCCTGCATTCCAGCCTGCCTAAGAGGGGCTAAATGGAAAGATCTGATTAAGCGTCTCAGTGTGGTGACCCTGACCTCAAAGAACACGCCGATTCTCTGGAGGAACTTCATTTCAATTAATCAACTTAACAGCCTGAGTAAATCTGGCCGCATCCATTGAGCCAGAGGGACCGCTGCCTCGCCTCGGAGGGTCTCCGGGA